AACATCGACCAGACTACACAGCGCAACAACCCAGAAGACTGAAATCTTCATACTCATCGCCCTGATGACGGAGGCAGTATGACCTCTGAAACGTCGGTGAACATCGACCAGACTACACAGCGCAACAACGCAGAAGACAGAAATCTTCATACTCGCCGCTGTGTAAACCTCAAATCATAAAAGACTGGGAATATTTATCCAGTGCTGGTAATGTTATGCATTGAACAGCAGGTCAGCATTATTTATTTTTGTGATGCCGTAACGTACCTCGTAAAACAACATTTGCAGATTTCGCATCATTACAACGGGTTACTGCAATGATCCTTAAAGGTTTAGGTTTAGCAGAAAGGTTTTCCACGTTACCGACATTCCGAATGAAGAGTTGCGTGACGTATGAAGGTGAGTATTGATTTAGCAACAGGTCATATTCACTCTCCAATAAACACACCAACTTTTTCTATTACATTACATTATCTCCAAATGTTTGCATGCCATGTGTATGCAATAAAATCCTTCAAACGCTGCTTCTGATTCAGTGGCTAAACACAATTTGTTGCAGAGAATGGAGCGAGCATTTTGTACGACTTTTCCCCATTTGAAATTCTGCAATGTTGTCAAAGCGGCTGCAGGCCGAACTCCAAAGCTGTGGCTTCTATATACCAAAAGGAACCTGGTACTCGTCATTATTTTCCTCTAGAACGATTTTGTATTAGTATCTGGATTTGCATTAAGTTCCATGTAGCAAGATGCAGTAGTAAACTGCTTTACAATGATCGATCTCATCCACCCCTTACTTACTGACTAAATGACCATTCTACGTAATAAAGTGACTTACTGAATGAGCAACAGATTTACAACGTAACAAACAAACGAAATGTTTAAATATTTGAACAGCCGACAGATCTAGCAACCGACCTTTAACTGCATAACAAACAGACTGACCGACTACCTACAAGTGAACAAATTTCTCACTTCTATGAAACAGAAAGCTTAATGAATCCACAAGAGCCCGCCACTAGTCCCTATTTGGAGCCACATGAATCCATTCCACATCCTATTTATTTAATATCCATTTTAATATTATCCACCCAGTTACGGTTAGACCTTCCAAGTTATCTCCTAAATTCAAGTCTTCCGGCAAAATGCTGTGCTCATTTGTCATCTCCCAATGCGTGCCACATGCCCCGGACATCTCATCCTCAATTTTATCAATCTAATATTATTTGGTGAATAGTACAAGCCAGACAAATGGCGTTCTTCTAATTCATTAACAAAAAATGTGCCGTATTATTAACTGAATTGTTCAGTGTTTTCCTTGAAGTGCAGATACATAGTTCCCTGCTACAGAATATTAATAATAATCACAAGCAGTTACATCATAACCCGAGTAGTTCTCGTCTTCGATACCAGTTTGTATAATATTTTAATATTCTCATCCTGTTCACACTAAAGTCTCCAATTTTTTTTTCAAGGACAATATTCCAGTCTAATATTTGTAGGTTTCTTCCTCAACCATGCAGATCACACATATACCACTTCCTTTTAATTCGTCTTAAAACAATCACCAAACAATAGAAAGAGAATAGAACGTGTTATGAAACTAATCGTTCCGTAATTTTCTCTATTTACGTTGCATCATCTCACTTTATCCAAGCCCTGTATAATCGCCTCAGAACTTACAGGGAGGGAACTTACTTCAAGCGAAACTTAAGAATACGCTATAAACCTACGAATGTGACGTTAAAAGACGGTTTTGTTCAAAAGTTTGATAAACATAGGTTTGTTGTTAACAATATTGCCATAAGGGGGTGAGATTTTTCATACCCCAACTTTGTCAAAATATAAGCTACAAGAATACATTATTCTGAATTCCGTCAACAGCATAAAAGAGCTGAACCAGCCAAAAATTATAGCCACTTAAAACAACCCTTTCATCCTGATACGCGGAAGGATATATCCTAATATAAGACTCGTGTGAAAAACAGAGGTCTCTCGCGACTCATCCGTCTCAGTGATTTACTGATGAATTCTTCCACTTTTCCAACAGGCAAGCAAAGGGGGTTTGTGGAACTATTTTATGTAACACCAAACTACCGCGGTAACACCACACGGAGTAAAACAGTACCAAAAACATATTTCAAAAAGAGGAAGGGGTCGTAGCTTTTAAAAACGAAGCCAGAAGCTGTCTTTTCTTACTACGCCCATAACCTTTACGAAAAGATGGTTTTAACACATAAAGCAATGTATGAAATGTCGGCGTGTACTAGCGACATGTCTCCTTTTCTGGTTTCTGCTATCATATTTCGTAGTGCGGATTGCGACTGTCTAACACACCCCACACGGTCTGCAGAATCGTAGGTTTGCGTTGTAAAGGATGAACACAAAACACGTCTGATAGCTCACCGGTTTATGGTGAGGACGTTAATTTACTGGGCGAAAAATTTAAGTACGATGAAAGAACACAAACTCTAACAGAAGCTAGAAACAAGAATGATTTAAGAATAAACGTAGAACGCTGTAACTTTTTTGTTAATATTTCGTCGACAGAATACATAATTAAACTACATAACCAACAATTAATATGGCAAAGCCTTAGCATAACAAACAACACACGGGAATAATATTTGATTAAATCATGGGAACATTTATTTTTAGAAAATGCTTGCTTCCTCTCATTTCAGAATACTGTGTCTCCCTTACTTTTAAGACATATATATAAAGATATGTAACCTGATTATGGATAGTGATTGACGGTTCATGGTACATTTCATGACAATTTTCAACTCTCTTAATCATGTGGCGTCAAACTGTAGGGCGAAAAGAAATTATAAATTTAAAAAAATGAATAAGAAGAGGTCGTGATTTACTTTAAGGTACTGCTTCAACATTTTCCTGTCGTGACTGAGAAAAAACATACGAAAACCTAATATCCGGTGCCTCCAGGTCACGAATGAGGAGTGCTAACCTCTTGACTGTAACATGCAATTGGAGTATGGATAAGCGATAATTTGGAAGGAATTTTACGGTGCAGGTATTATTTAGGAATCCACCTGGAGAGACTGGGGAAATCCATAAAGAACTTCAGCCAGATTTAAGCAGGGTAAAGTCTAATTCATTGTGGTTACATCAGTCTGTTTGTTACCCAGGGGTTGACGTGGTACCGCTGTACAATTTCCGCTTCAAACAACACCCCATTCTGTGTTTTATTCATGAAAACATTGAACTGCGACAGTCATTTTTTTTCACTGTACGGCTAATGAGAATGGTTTTGTCAATTTATCTGCATTGTTGTTTATAATTTGATTAATTAAGCCCATATATCAGTAATATCTCTAAAAAGGTAATGCAAGTCAATTTAGATGAATATCGATACATGATACAAATGAATCACAGTAATAACAGACGCGTTCCATTACGCACACTGTTTGATAATAAACACAACTACTCAAATTACCGACGGGAAATTTTGTTGAAAATCCTACACACTATTTTGATGCCTCGTTATAAACTGCAATGCGGCTGGCTCCAGAAGAATGCTGGAACTGCTCCGTAACACTAGGACCTCACAAACAACGAACAGTTTCAATTAGACCGAACGAATAACGAAATAACTGACCGACCGACAAAATAATCTATTGACTAGTATCTTACTGAGGAACAAACCAAGTGACCTTCAAACTAATTAACTAAATAAATAAGTGACTGACTAATTAACTGAATGATTTAACGGCTAAATGATCCCTACGTAAGATTTCTATCCGATGAATATGTCTCTTGTGATTATGTGGGTTGTGTGGTGACGTCGTATAGTCTTTTAAGTGGTTGCCAATGGCTTCGTGGAACGTACCGACTCCTTCTTCAGGGAATGGAATACAGAGGACATACTTTCCTACAAGACGCTAGTAACCAACTACCTAGAAGCCACGCCACAACCGCCAAAACTGCAATAGACTAAATGGCTGATTGGGAAAATATTGATTGTACCAGTAATTAATTAACCAACTGACTGACTGACTAACAAACTAGCAAAACCTCACTATATGTTTCAGGGACCTCTGTAAGTAGTTGACATTTTTTACTACTCTTTATCGCTGAAGCACATCTTTAGCCATACCACAGTTCACAGAAGTACACTTTATAATACATTTTAATATTATCTTTGTGTTTAAGGCAAGGCTTGTGCAGCCTTAACTTACAGATTTCGTAGGCTTCTGTAGATAAAATCTGGAACAGTGGTTTGTCTTCGAGTAGGCTTCGAATTATTAGTTGTAATTCCTCCTCAAGTTGTGGAACTTCTGAAAATGAAACAACACTGGTATGAGATTACGGTCTCCAGTTTCCTCGCATTGAAATGCGGAGAATCCTTGCTTTGAAAAATCCAGACACATAATCATGTTTTGAATAGAAATGCGACATGTGCATAGCACGCAAATTGTGATATCTGGAACTTCAAATTTTATTCACTCATGGGAAAGGAAGGCTTGACCTGAAATAGCCCCTAATCTGCGAAACTTTCGTTCGAAACACATGCCATGAAGAACATAGAACAGGTTGACAGATTCTAAAAGGAATTACTTTGTTACATGTGCTTATCAAAATGCGTGTCGCTTTTTTACCTGTTATATTTATATCAAAAATCAAAAGCAGGGAATTACATTTCCTTCAACTTTTGAAGGACTGATGCTGTTTGCTGTGCTGTTGGCGTTTGTAGACACGGGTTTTGATGATTCGCAGGTCTACAAACGTAGAAAACTACATCATTTACTCCAGGAAACTGAGTCCTTGAGAAGCTAATAATCACTGAGCATGTGAAAAAATTCTTTCCTCTTTCTGTAGCCCATACATTCATTAATTTCTCAAAGAGCCCGCTGCTGGACCTTACCGTAATTAGATAAATCTCATTTACATTCTTATACAATTATTTGATACGTGTTTGAAGTACTGTCACTTATTTAT